ACAGATTGTTTCTTTAGACTCTCTTTGTTCCGTTTGATATTTTTCTCAGTTCTCTAAGCTTTTTACATTTAAACGGGTTTTTATAACATAACTTCTTATATTTTATCTTTTCTTGCACATTATCATTCCACCATTAACTATTTTTATTTATAGAAACTTTTTTCTTTTGATTCTCTGAGTGCATCTTTTGCTACTTTTTTAATAGTATTTATTATTTTATCTCACATAACATTCTGCTTCTTCGTGAATATTCCAAATTTTAAAATCTTGAATTTTACTCATACAAATAATTTTATTTGAGTCTTTTAGGTTCTCCCATCTAATTCTACGATGACAAGTCCTTGTATTCTTTATTTTACAATTCATCATCTTAAAATCTAGAACTAATAATCGATGTTGGGTACTGAAATCCTCACTTGGATTGACCTTACAATCTTTACAATCTCGACGATCCAGTCTTCTCATAAGAAAATAATTAATTTATGTTTTATTAGATCCATTCTTATAAGTAATAAGATGCTCATCTCTTTTCTTTAATAAAGTATTAGTAATGACAAAATCATATGCTAAAGCAAAATCTATAATGACTCAACCTTCTTCATTAGTCACTCCAAAACTGTAGCCACAATGAATATTTCTGAAATCTTCTACCATTCTACCGACATGTCTATTTAAATCTCCTCTAATAAAAATTTTTTCTTCAAGATTTTTTCTTCAATTTTCTTCAAGAGGTATCATTTTTATAAAGTCTTCTAAGTCATTCCAGAATTTATATTTGGACCCTATAACTAAACCTACTTATGGAGCATAAACATTTATAATATTAAATATATTTTATTAATAATAATTTTAAGGGCTATAGTTTTATCTCCAACTCTGTTAGTTTTTACAACATTATCTTTTAAACTCTTATGTTTAATTACTCCTACATCATTTCTAGTGCGACTCTTACCAGAGTTCCTAAGTTTAAAATCTAAGTTGTCAATCTCCTTAGCATTTTATCCAACTCATTTAGTTTCTTGAATGCATAAGATATTAATTTTTCTATGGATCATAATATTAACTAATTATATTAATTTACCATTGAGAACACCTATATTCTAAGATACTATCATAATATTAATTTCATTAGTTTCATGTGCAATCATTGAGAACACCTATATTCTAAGATCCTATCATAATATTAATTTCATTAGTTTCATGTGCAAATTTTTTTACCCGCATCCGTTCGTAATGTGAGAATCCTTGCTTATTTGATACTACACCCGGGTGCCGGTATGGTGGCCCTTGCACACTTTTCACTGTATTCTAGTCATAAAACCCGTCGCTTCCAGGGGACACCCTAGCACTTCCACAATGATCAAAATGATTCATGTAATGATTTATTCAACAAGTTTTACGCTGGCTGCCGACTACCTAACGCAATCATCCACTTTTCACATCCACCCTGGCACATCTGGGCTTAGGATTCATGTCATGATTTTTTTGACAAAATGAAGAAAACGCTGCTGCGGAGATACCTGCCGCCACATTACCGCCAAGATATGTTCCTGAAGTTCAACCTACAACAGAGAGAGTTTTCAGTAGAGGAATTCACAACCAAATTCGACCAGTTACAAAGTGTGAGTTGGTCGAACAGGAGAAACATACTATCGCCCGCCACCTTGGAGGCTTAAAGTCGGCCATTGGCAATGTGGTTCAACTGCAACATTATTGATCGGTGGGTGACGTCCAAACCTTGGCCTTAAAAGTAGAAAGACAACAGAAGTAGGCCAGACACCAGCCTTCCTTCCGACAGCAAACCTCATACAAGCTAACACCAACAACTACAACTACTGACAAGGGCGTTCCAGGAAGAGGGAAACCAATGGGCGGGAATGCGAAAGCTGATCCAAGCAGTAAGAAGCTTGAGAAGGCCTAGCCATAAGTGTTTCAGGTGTCATGGTTACAGTCATATCACATCCAGCTATCCCACAATCCGAATTGTCTCTTTCACAGATTAAGGTGTCATCAAGAAAAGCGAGGATGAGGAGTCAGAGGAAAATTCCGAAGAACTTCAACTCCTTGAAGAAGAAGGCGAATCAGTAGTCATATGGTGAGTTTTAAAGTCAGAACCAACATGTGATCAGTCATGGCTAAAACACAACATCTTTCACAGAAAGTGTACAATAAAGACAAGGTTTGCAGCCTAATAAAAACAGTGGAAGTTGTGAAAATGTCAGTCTCTACACTAATTATGACAAAGTTGGAATTACACACACATAAACATCCTCAATCCTATTCCCTCCCTTGACTAAAAAAAGGAAATGAAATCCACGTGGATCAACAGTGCTTTGTTTAGTTCTCAATAGGCAACCCATTAAAGGAACAAGTATGTTGTGACGTCATTCCCATGAACGCATGTCTTATCCTCCTAGGATGACCATGACAATACGACGATGCTTAAAAAATATAAACTCATTCAAGAAGGATGGAAAACACATTGTGTTACTACCAAGTAAGGACACAAGAGGAGTAGGTGACACTGAGGAAGTAGTAGTTTCGCGAGCCACTTTCATGCAGTCAGTTCGAAATGCCTCAATGACACTAGCCCTAGTCCTACTCGAGCGTCAGAAGATGAGTACATGATACCAGAACTTCTACAATACTTCTAAGATGGCAAATAGTTTGCCAGAGGGACTACCACCATTGTGGGACATCCAACATGCCATAGAAGTTGTACCAGGATTTGTCTTACCAAATTGACCCACATACATGCTTAGACAGACAAAGTATGAGGAACTACAACGACAAATGCAAGATTTCATCACTAGAGAGTTAGTTAGAGAAAGTACTAGTACGTGCGATGAGCCCGTCCTAATGGTACCCAAGAAAGATGACTTATGGTGGATGTGTATCGATAGCCAAGCCATCAACAAAATAATTATCAAATACTGCTTCCCAATACATCGCTTAGATGACCCCTTAGACCAATTACACGGAGCAACTCTGTTCTCAAAGATCGACTGACGAAGTGGGTACCACCAGATACGGATGAGGTTAGACGACAAATGGAAGACTGTCTTCAAGACACGAATTATATGAGTGGACATTCATGCTCTTCGGTCTGTCAAATGCGTCCAACACTTTCATGAGATTAATGAATAAGATATTTCACAACCACATCGAGCAATTCATTGTAATCTACTTTGACGACATACTGGTATACAGTCAGTCTGAGGAGGGACACCTGCAACACCTACGACAATATTTGAAGTACTACGTAATGAAAAATTATTTGCCCATCCAAATTAATACACTTTCATGACGAATTAAGTATGCTTTCTGAGTTACATCGCATCTAGCACATATATTAAAATGGACCCAATAAAATCGAAGCCATTATAAGCTGGACCACACCACGATCGTTCACCGAACTGAGACAGTTTTTGAAACTGTCGCTTTATCATAAATTTTAGCACTATTACCGCTCCCCTAACCGAGCTTTTAAAGAGCTAGGAGTTCACGTGACCAAGCACCTCTTAGACTAGCTTCAACACATGCGCCAGTTCTAGCCTTTTCGGATTTCACACAATTATTTGAAGTAGAATGTGATGATTCAAACATTGTAATAGGGGTTATACACAATCGTAAGAGCCCTTGACCAGTCACCCCATTGCTTTCTTCAGTGAGAAACTTAACGAGACCAGAAGTAAATACTCAACATATGATAGAGTTATACGCGATCGTAAGAGCCCTTGATCACTGGAGTTACTACCTTTTGACAATTGAGTTCACATTATTCACAGCTCATGGATCCTTAAATTTTTTGAACAGTTAAGAGTAAGTTGGAAAGCTGACACGCAACCTGGGTATAATTTTTGGCATCATTTAATTTCATACTTAAACATAAAGCTTGGAGCTAGAACCGCGTCGCAGATGCACTAAGACGACGCCACTTATTAATCACCTCTATGCCTACTTGTTTTACCACAATAAACTATTTTAAGATGCTTTTTGAGAGAAGCAATTGTACAAGAGAACCATAATGTAGGCCTCGCAGGCCATTTTGGCAGGGACAAAACTCTCACCCTCACCAAAGAACACTTCTTTTGTCCCCGACTAACAAAGGATATGGAGTGCCACGTCTGACAATGCAGAATTTGCCATTTGGCAAATACAAGAGGGCAGAATACAAGATTATATACTCCGTTACCAGTATTAGAATCAGATTGGGTGGATATCAGTATGAACTTCTTACTAGGTCTCCCCAAGTCACAGAGGAACAAAGATTTTGTAATGGTGGTCGTAGGCTGATTTTCAAAAATGACACATTTTGTGCCCTGCCACTGCACATTGGCCGCATCTTATTTCACTGAGTTATACTTCAGGGAATTGTAAAGTTAAATGGGATCCCCATAACCATTACCTCTGGCAGAGACGCAAATTTTTAAGCCACTTTTGGAGAATATCATTCTCTTTCTTTTTGTTATCATAAAGTCGTAGATTTTAATGAAAACATTTAGATGGACGTGTGGTAGACCTCTAAAGAGAAAGACACAACATTATAGTATTTGATAGATTGTTATAGTAGCACTTGTTATGAATGATGTTGTAGACAGTTGAATATGGTAATTTGAGCATTTACACAGAAGAGCACAAGATGCGTCAATAAGGATATGATACAGAATTAATGCAAATGCATAAGATGGAAAAGCTGTAGATCAAAGAAAACTTGGTTAGAAAGCAGGAAAATATTTTGTACAGACTTAGCAACCCGTCTAACATCCAATAGCGGGTGAATGGTTAAAGATTCATACAGCTGACCAATGACAAATCTAATGATTATATAACTTTTCAATTTTTACCATCTGTTTTATTTCTTGCTCTGGATGTTGCCATTTTAGGCATGCATAGTCTTTCTTTTTTATCTAGATAATCTGCCATTAGCTTATATATTATATGGCTTCTGCCGGTATCATGAATCTTAATTCTGATCTTTTTGACATGGCTTACCATAGTATATGGATAGCAAGGAATCCACCGGGTTATGCATTTGTTGAATTTGATAGTCGTCAGGAAGCACATGATGCTGTTGCTGCTTTAGATGGTAAGAATGCTTACGTAACTCCTTCAAAATTCTGTTTCTCCTCTAAAATATTACATCTGATGGGTTACCTCTAGATATGGATTATTGATTTATTTTTGTTTTTTCTCTCCTTGATTATCTAATATGTCCAATTGTTTTAGTTAAATTAAGTGTGAAGCATTGCCTAAAAAATCATTTTACAATTACAGTTTTTTTTCTTAGTAATGTTTATTTATTTATTTATTTTTAATGAAGGCTGAAGAAGCTATACATTACATTGTAGTTCTAAGGAACAGATAGTATATTTTATGTATCTTGCTTTGTATGTTCAGCTAGCTGGGAATGATGCCTCAGATTTAGCAACCGCTCCTTTAACTTTGTAATCGTTTGTGCATGTTGTGCGGACTGAAAGAGGCCATGTATTTTCATGTTATTAGTAGGAAGTTCTTTTTGTTTCTTGACACCTGTTAATCAAACTGATGGCTAGTTAAGCTTACTTTATGCAGCATATTATGGGAAGCCTAATAACTGGTTCTAGTTATGCCATCCTTTGGCCTGGTCGTTGTCATGGTAAAGGCCTGGTAGCTCGAGCTTCAATAATAATAAAATATTTTCCTTGTGAAAGCTTTGCCAGCTGTACACTATGGTGTGAAAACTAATTGGGCCTTGTCTAACATGCCTGTTCCATCTTTCATTTTTGTATGTACCAAAATCATTTAATTTTTTTATTTATTTTCAGATTGTTATCCTTGTGTATGCCATAATATAATATTTATTTACTTTCCAATTCTACATCACTTCTCAGGCCCTGCCGTGCACCGCATCCTGTCTTTCACAATTTGCACCCCCTCCTTCCTGTACGACTGCTGAGCTCCTCCTCGACGCTCTCTTCTTCCTCTTCTGATTGGACTTTTTCGTCCAGTGCAGAAGCCCTGCCCCAACTCCGACGCGATCTCCGGCTGCTTCATTTTCCCCATTTCCTCTCCGTGGCCTGCTCCTCTGCCTATATCTGACATTCTGGTGAGGCATGCCCCCCTTCTCAGTTTGTCCCAAGCACCGATAGAAGTACATCATATTAACAGGTTTAAACAGAAAAATATTGAAGAATCTGGAAGTTGGCTTTGGCCCCAAGTGACGTTGGTTATAATACAAATATAGATGGGCTAATAACAGAGGTTTAGGGCTCTGCTAAGCTATTTCTAGTCAATCTGAGTATTCACCCCAATTAGCCAGTGTCCCTTGAAGTAGGTAGCCCCCAAATTATAGCGCACAATTTATAGCTACAAGTCTTGCTTATAAACATCAGGGGTATAATTTTGTGTGTTCGTTCATCCTTTTACTTATATTTCTTTGTGGTTGCATAATGTTTAGATTATAATTGTGCTGCTGGTTTATACATTTTATATCCAAGAGCAAGCATTTCTACTTGATGTTATAAAGTACTGATTGTTTCTTGCACTCTAAATTAGCATTTCTAATGTGTATTTCTCTTTAATAGAATTAATAATAATTAATTCTATTTGCTCTCATATTTGAGAATTATATTTTTTAGACACGGCATGATGGATTGTATAAAGGTCGCTTTTTCTTGTAAAATGAACCATTCTTGATGTGGAATACACCATTTTTTCTCTTTCCTAGAATCTTCTGTTTGATTTTTACACATTACTTGTGTTCTCAGGAAAGCATGGTTGGCGTGTAGAGATGTCTCGAAGATCTTCAGGCGGAATAAGAAGCAGGTCATCAAGTCGCGACACTAGATGTCAAGAGTGCGGTTCACATCGTCACAATACCAGAGATTGTCGATTTCGGGCATCACGAAGTTCTAGAAGGAGTTCAAGCCCTCATTCGAGGGCACACATGAGCAGGTTGTAGGTTCATTTTGGGTTATTGAAACTATTAATTCTTGTGCAGTTTACCACATTTTTGTCTAGCAGTATTAATTAAAATTTTCTGTTTAGGGACATCCCCAAAAGAAGACGCAGCCGGAGTAGATCCCGTCAACATGCTGATCAACTTAATGAAAGGTACCATAGAACTGTTCGTTTGGTTTTTTTTTATTTTTTATTTTTGGGGATTTGCATCCATCGGCATACTGATAGCTTGCATAGCAGCAAATGTAAGTTGCAACCACAATGCATAAACACTTCTTTTTAATATGCTTTTTTCCTGTTTCAAATGCAAGGACTTGAAGCTTTTGAATTGAAAGGTTCTATGGTCACTGTTTGGGAAATGCTGTTCACATGCACAAGCATAATTTGCGTAATGAGAGTCTTTCCTGAACAAATCCTTAAAAGTTATCATTGTGATTAAATTTGAAAGGAAACAACCTTTCATGTTGAAGAGGAGAATTTCAAATGCTGCTATTTTATCACTCATACTAGCTTTTTTCATAGATAGAGCTGTCTAAATTGTATTATAAATTTACATAGTAATAATTAAAACCAATTAAAACTTTGTCCCAAATATTTCTTGGTGGAAATCATTGTAGCCAGCATGGCAATTTTTGGAATTTTCTATTTTTTTGGTTAGCCTTACATTTGTCTACTTGGTACCTGTGTTTAGCGATCAATGGGTTTCTTTTTTTCTATTTTCAATCCAGTTGTAAATGTCTGCCTCCAACTGACGGAGCTGTATGCTTCAACACTCCCACTTAAATTGGTTCGTAGAAATCTTTCATCGCCGAGAATGCAAAGACCTTTAATAAATACGTGTTTTTGCAGTTCAAGTCAAACCCATTTTTAAAATTTTTTTTTTGGAGGATTTACATCCGTATTACATAATTCTTATGCAATTATGTCTAACATCTAATTTTTTATATTTATGTATGTAACAATTAATATTACAATCACAACAAATTATGTGTGATAAATTTTAAATTTTACTATAGAAAAGTTCATGTTAATGGTAATTTTAATGTGAAATTAAAGATTTTGACGTTATGTATGTAAATGCCAAAGTTTTAGTGCTAGATATGTAAATAAATAAGAATTATGTGGTATGTATGTAAATCTCCCTCTTCTTTTATGAAGCATCTATCTCAAAAAACATTTATTAGGGTTGTATTACATTGAATTTTGAGCAATCCTAATAATAAACTTGTTGTCAAAGTATAACCTTATAAACCATTCTCATTTAATTTTTTGATCTTCAAGTATAATTTTTATTCACAATGGTTCACAAATTTCTTAGACAATTACTTTAAACTAGGATTCTGCACTTATTCTTGAGACAACATATTGTTCCATTCTTCTTCATGTTGTAAGATTACTTCCGAGTAATGCACAATATTCTCAAGTTGATCATTTATGTTCTAGTAGTAGCACATGTTGAGTTTCATATTTTTTTGGTAGAGGATTCCTTCTCCAAAATTGAATTTTCCTGAGAACTCTATTAGTAGCCTAGAGGTGAAACTCATTTGATTTATACATAAATTTACTATTGAGAATTATTGCAAATGTAATATCAAGATGACTATGGATAAATAAATTAGTTTTTTAAATAACCTTTGATAGTCCTTTATCGACTTATGTTTTTTTCCTATCAATGTCCGATTTTTAGCTTGGTTTTATTAGAGTTTCATAGTATGTGTTTTTTCATATTTATTTTGCTTAATAGATCCATGTTATATTTCTGTTGCGAGATAAATGTCTCTTACTGATTGAGCTATTTTAATGTTAAAGTGTTTAAACTTTGTCAAATTATTTATCTTGAAGTACAATGAGTTTTTAAAATATTTCTTTTGTTTATTATCATCACCTATAACAATTATGTCATCAACACACAAGAATTATCATTATCCGTTTGATTTAGTATTTTCTAAAGAGTGTTTGGTCTCTTTGACTTTGTTTATATCTCTGCATAAAAGCTTTTGGGAATTTTCCAAGTTATGGTCATCGAGGTTGCATACCTTGTTTTTTGAAAAATAGTTGTTTAATCGTAGTAGGAAATTGGTAAAAAATTCTTTATCATTAGGCAAAATGCTTTCTTTACGTCATATTGTTGCTAGATCGTCCAAGTATAGTAGCCATGGACATCAGGATATGAATATGTTCATTTATGCAATTTGAGCAAATGTTTTCTGGTAGTAAACTTCATAGAATTGTGTATAACTTTTTGCCACTAACTTGGCTTTTGACCTTTCTACACTTCCATTTACTTAGTAGTTCTATGTGAAAGCTAACTTAACGTCCTACATTCCTTTTTTCCTCTTAGGTAATTTGACCTTCTTCCAATAGTGATTTTTAAGGGCATTTATCTCTTTACTATAGCCTTCTTTCTAATCTTATTTACTAAAATATTAAATAGGATTTGTGGAAATTTAATGGTGTTAATATTTGTATGGAAGGCTTCATGAGACAAATAAGGATCGTAGTAAACTTCATAGGAATGTGTGTAACTTTTTGCCACTGACTTGGCTTTTGACCTTTCTACACTTCCATCTACTTGATAGTTCTATGTAAAAGCTAACTTACATCCTGCATTCTTTTTTTCTCTTCGGTAACTTGAACTATCTTCCAAGTATGATTTTTTTAGGACATTTATCTCTTTACTTATTGTCTTCTTTCTAATCTTATTTACTAAAATCTTAAATAGGTTTTGTCGAATTTTGGTGTTAATATTTGTAAGGATGGCTTCATGAGAGAAAGATGTTTTTTATTAGGCTATGGGGTATGCAGGGAGTGTCAACATCTTTCCGTAAAGCAACTAGTTAAAAATGATTATTGTTAGATGTAAAAATGTTACTTTACATGGGCTTTTACTCTTGAACTTGCAATAGAGTGAATGTGCTTTGTCCTTAATGTATTGACTTTGAGTGATTTAGTAATTGATGAGTTAATCTTTGTGAGATCATGCTATTATTATGCCTATATATGGATGGTTGAACAGTGAAGGGAAAAATTTTAAGTTTGTTAGAATTATTTTTTATTTGATTATTCTTCCTTTGAAAATAATTCTAATTAGAGAATTATTGTTGTTTAATATTAAATGTTAAATTGTTTGATGAAGGAATTTTGTTGGTTGGAGTATATCATTTATACCCATTTGTCATTATTATTTAGGAATATGTACTTAGGAGGCCCAATCAAATAGTTTAAGAAAATTTTTTTGAAGAAAGTGAGGTAGTTTAGGTGATTTTGAAATCATTCATTTTAGACGGGGTTCTGTTAGGCAATTATGTAGGGTTAGGATGGTGTCTCCCTAGTTTCTTTTAGGATTTTTATTATGGAAGTGGAGAGTTGTGGTAGCTTAAAGTTGTCTCCATTTGTGGCGGTGTGTTGGGACATCAAGATTGGGGAGTGATGCCTTCTTTATCGGCTAAAAGGATATAATTTGGTTAAATAATATAAATTGCTTGAATACTGTATCATGCTGATTATATATAATGGCACTAGATATCACAATTTCATGATAATTTCCCAAAATGTTTTTTATTAGATGCCTCATTAAGGTAAGAAATCCTCACTATAAATACCTAAGAACTTTTGTTCTGGTCATTTTTCACCATGATTATCTCTCTAAAATCTTAAAGCTTCTCTCTAGACTCCTCTAATCCTATTTCTTCTCAAATGGCTAGTGCTTTATATAAGCAAAAGCTTATACCTTGAGGTATTAGTGACAATAGAAGATGAAATTAGTTGACATAGGGGAGGAGTATGATGAAATGAATTAAACCAGTTTTGCATTCTCAAAAGGTGGATTGTATGAAGTAGCAATAGAAATAAATTAGAAAATATAATTTTTATTCCACAAATAAGGGTTCAACTAATACAACTGAACAAACAACAAGAAAACTGATTGAAATAAACTGAAATAACAATAGAAAAATACTAATCAAATCCCCAAAAAGACAAAAATAATAACTAAAATAAATACTGAAAATATCAAATAGAAATCTAGAATTGAAAAGTTTGATCCTCTAAGGCCAGTTCTAGAACTGGTTGAATGAAACCTGTTATATAAAAATATCAACGGGTGAGTTTAATAGATCAAACTCAGTAAATAACAACTATTTATTAAAACATAAACGACAAACAAAATAGTCATTCAGTGTGAATAATAAATACGACAATTCTAGATTACTTATATATAAACACACACACACAACAACAACAACAAAGACTTAATCCCACTACGTAGGGTCGGGTACATGAATCCTCTTTCTCCATTGCGTCCTATTTAGTGTTATATTTTCATTTAGTTCTAATAAATTAAGATCATTTTTTATACAATATGCCCAAGTCTTCCTAGGCTACCTTTGCCTTTCTTAACATAAGTCGAATCTAAAACATCTACTCTCCTAATCGGATCATCAAATGGTCGACGCTTGATGTGACCAAACCATCTAAGGCGACTTTCTCTAATTTCGTCCGGCACAGGAGCTACACCAACCCTATCACGGATATATTCATTTCACATTTTGTCTTTTAAGTGTAAAACCACTCATCCTTATAATCATTCTCATCTCGACAACACTTAACTTAGTATTATGCTTCTCTTTTAAATGCTAACATCATTGAGCAGCAGGTCTCACCACAATCTTATAAAATTTTTCTTTCAGTCTAGGCGGTACTTTTCTATCACACAAAAGCCCTGAAGCATTCCTCCACTTCAACCAACCAACTTGAATTCTACTATTAACATCTTCATCTATATCACCGTCGTTTTGAACAACATACCTCGAGATATCTAAATCGTTCACAACTTTTAATAATTTGATCACTCAAAGATACACTTTTGTCACTAAAGCTACTACTACTAAAATTACATTATATGTATTTAGTTTTAGTTCTACTCAAATGAAGGCCTTTAGAGTCCAATGTAGACCTCCATAATTCAAGTTTTTCCGAGGCTTTTTCTCTCGTCTTATCCACAAGAAGGATATCATCAGCAAAAAACATCCTCCTGTAAATGTCCAGTAAGACCATCCATAACTAAGCAAAAAGATATGAGCTTAAAACCGATCCCTGATGTAATCCAACAGAAATAGGAAAATATTTGGGCAATCCTCCTTTGGTTCGAACAA